ATTATAATTCAATAACCAATATATGACTTTTATGAGAAAATATTCGCCGTATGGAAACCTCTTTCTGTAATCCTTATAGAAAATAATATAAATTGCACACAGTTAGACGCAATAATATTTCTGGGCAAATTTAGTATTTGATTCATTTTTCAAAAGTTTGTTTATTTCAGGAAAGCGGACCCATAAGTGCAGGAGTAGATCAATATTTGACGATATTTGATATCCAACAATATTTCACACCTAAACTTCATTCTGATACATAATTTCAGAATGAAGTTGGAAAAAAAAGGAAAATGACGTTATTCATGAATTTTGTATATTTCAACACACACATCACATAGTGAATAAATCAATGAACATGTACAACCCACTCGGGGTATTAACCTCGATGAAATTTGAGGGAAATACAACAAAGTTAGAGCATGCGAAATATCGATCTATCACAACTGAAGTGTATTTGGGAAATTAAATAAGGTGAAATAAGATTAGTGATGGTGAACGGAGCAGGAACTGAAGTGCTTGTGTTGGGGGAAAGCCCCTTTACTAGCGTTTCTGTTCATTTCAAAAACTTAATGTCGCTTTATTACATTTCGTTAATCATTGATTGAGTAGTGCATGGACGTACAGTCATGACAAATTCCTCATTTAATATTATAGAAATCGTCCTTCACAGTAAATTTTTAGTTTTCTATTTTTTCACAGCCACAATTTCGTGAATGTTTCCAAAAATTTGAAGAGATTTGAAATCCAAGACCCAACGCAGTAGAAAAAATTATTTGTGAGGAATTCAGTTATCAATCACTGTTGATATTAACGAAACGTCGCAATGCAATTTAATTTGCAATATTTTTTATCAGTTCCTTTCACTTTTTCATTAGTCATCATCGTTTCTCTTTATTTTCACTCTTTTTTTTGTGTGCATATTATTGACATTTCAATTATTGTTATTAACATCTCTTTCTTATCAAAAGTCAATTCAGCTTGTATAATTAACAGAGTTACATTGGGTTGGGTAAAAAAGGAAGTATGAAATTTTCTCGGAAAACATCAGAATGCCAATAATTTCGAAAAAGATTTTTGTGGTTTAATTGCAAATCTCTTTAAATATGTCATGCCACAAAAAATTATGAGGCACTGTTCTCATATGTCATTCGTCATTTGCTAGTAATTGATAATTTGTGATAGTTTTTGAGGAATTTTATGAAGTTCGACTAATGAACACGTGCTTGCTGGGGTCACTCAATGAAGGTTATCAGATATCTAATGTAGATACCACATTTTCAGCTCAATTCTTCATTTTAATCCCGAATCATCAGCGATTCATTTGACAGAACTACTTAACCAAAGACAAATATTTCCTACAATCCAATTATGTTCATGCCTGCCATGCCATGTTCTGCCTGAAAAATATTTCGTTTCTGGTAGCTTAAACAAGAAGTTGCCAGAACTAAGTTCAAATTCTATTCCAAATTTTGAGTTTATTTCAATTTTAGGAACCTCCATTGTTCTACTGAACACTTCATTTGTTTCTCGTTCAAATTGAATGAATTATTGAAACATAAAAATATATTGGATATTGAAAAGAGTTTTCTTCATCTACTGAAGATGCCAACTTGATTGATGAAACGCGCATCGAGAAGAGTATTGCATTTCTGGTGATTGAAAAAAGTGTTTGTTTTGTAAATATCAGATTTCTGAAACAAAAAGTGGGCGACTTCTTCTTAGACAGAAAGAAAAGAAAGAAATAGAAAGTAGTGACAATGTTTTGAAATGATTTTGTAAATAGTGAAAAGGCATTTTCATCTTCGATCGAACCTAGAAGTGAAAGGTAATCAAACTATATTGGGAGATTTCAGCAGATCCATCTCATCATAACGATGCTCATTGAAAACCTTAAAAATTATCGCACCTTATCAGCAACAACGGCTGGTGATTACAATAACGAGGCAATATGTTCGATCATGTAAACTATTGCGAAGATTATAAATTAGAGAACATAACTAAAGAAAAAGGAAGAAGTAGATCAAACTAACTAACCAAGTTGGTGTCTTCAAGAGATGAGGAACACTTCATAGCTGCTTTTATTCTATGCCAAAAGTTCCAACAAATCATATGTCAATAATGTGCTAAGAATGCAAACACTTTGGAAAGACAAGAAATCTGACACGATTTCTAAAACAGTTTCACAGAGTAAGCTGCCACTGAGATCTGGGGCCCTGATGCAGAAGCTTTTCTGCAATGCTGAAGACTTCAAGAGGAGACTCCACCTCAAATAACCTAGCAGCAGCATGCTTAAAATTGCCACAAATAACAGTAAATATAGATAGAAGTTGTGATTTTTCGAATAGTAGGAGAGACAACGAAGGCAACGAAGATTTATCTGCGATAGAGTCACCTAGAGGAAATATTAATAGGTCAGGGACTTGAATATACGGCAGAGGTAAATGCACATCTGCTTTTCAAGGATTTGCAATGTGTTATCACCCTTTTTTGATTTGTATTCAGTTGTTAATAAACAACAATGTCATACTCAGAGCATTGATGAATCCAAGAAAGACATTGGAACTAGTTTTTGAAAATCTTCACTGGATACCAGGACACTGGTAGAAAATAAAAGATGATGGATGCTCTAGAAACAGATTAGCTGTTGAGCCAGCTGTGAATATACTACTATTACTGACAAAATATATGGATTCACAAGTAACACAAGTAAAGAACAGGATGAAAATATACTTGGGGAAGAGAAAGTTTTTGAAATAGGAAAAACAAAGTTCTGCTTCAAGAGAGTTTTATAAATGATAAAAACAAAGTATTGCCTCAGGAAATCAGGGATCGAATCGGAATAATTCAAAGTCTGCTCATTTATTGCTGTTCATTTAGAGATTATCATGATTAAAATGGGGCTGCATGAGGAAGACGTCAGACATGCGGATCTGGAAAGGCAGATCCGCATGTCTCTTGCAAATGTAAGACATCATCCAGATGGATGACAAATATCCCAAAGAAGAGATGTACAATTCAGTATATGAAGAAATAATTCTTAGAATATTCAGATTGTCATTGAAAGGTGGATAGGCTCATAGCTCTTAGCTTCATAGCAGATAAAAAGATACAAGAGGAGAGACTTAAAGAATATTCAACAAGAATATTGTGGAATTCGATAGTATGGAATAATATTTCGTAGCTGTGAATACAATTGATCCTCAATATTTTATTGCGTGTTTTCAAAAGTTGTTCAATCAACCAGTTTGCCAAAACATTAAATAAAGTTGATGAACATCCCATCGCCTTCAACAGTAACTCAGAACGTCAGTAATACAACCTTCTTTTTTTATGGTTTCGACAAGGCGCCAGAACGAATAATTCGCCAGAAATGCTGTTCGAAACTCGTAGAACTGAATAAAAAAGGGTCAATTTCTTAGTAGCATTTCGAAACGAAGAGCAATAACTCTTACCGTTACAGCTAAAAGCGGGAGAATGCTCACTTATATGGGTTGTCATGGAAAAACTTCAGTTCAAGTTGCAAATCGTACATTACTCAATCTCTTCATTAAGGTAACGATTGATATATGAGTAAAAGGAGTTAATTTTTACATTCGAGGATAAAAAAGTAATCTATTCATGCACAGGAAAGTGATATATAACTTTACAGAGTAATTTACGATTTGTCTTAGTTGTATTAACAACTTGGCCCAAAGAGTTATAAACAATTCAATCACAAAAAACAGGTGGTCTTTTTTTGCGAATTGCAAAATTTCATAAAATACCCTATCAGATCAATTTTCGCAATTTTCCTCATAGTTATGCTATTGTACATTCACAGTGTTTTTCAGGTTAAATAATAGATGAAAATTATTGATTAACAAAAGCATGAATGCTGTAATTTCTTTAAATCATATACCAATTGAATGATTGCACTTGATTTTCTGGCACAGAATGAAAAAAAAATCCACACTAAGAATGTCATTCTGTGCTCATCCCTCGTTTCAACGAGATGACGTCATCAGATTATCTGGCTGAGATATTTATTTCAGTTTCATCCAGAATTGTTTTTGTTAGATCCAGGGTCAAATATTTTCAATAGATTCTCCTTAGGTCGTGATTTTCAAAATATTGCGATATACTACCATCGATTGATATTTATTTGGAATTTATGGAAAATATTGTCACACAATTCAAAAACATTGTTGATCATTCAGATTTATTACTGCAAATGTCGAATAAGTTTTGAAAAAGTCATAGTATTTCAAGATATTTTCACTAGTGAGTCACCCAATTATCAAAATAGTCTATGCATGAGAAGTAGCATGTTTTTTGTTTCATTCTCTTATATCAAGAAAAAAGAAATGTTTATTTGCAAATGCAGCACTTTATCAGAAGGTTGCTATTGGTTGGTTTTCATAAAAAAATCATGCCAAAATATTAATCCAATGAACTAAACATCTGCATCGGGTGGGTATTTTTACATCAATATAAAATATATATAGAAATGCAATATCTCGAAAGGAATCAACACAGTCGTTAGAATACAAAAACGATTTTTTCTGTTAAGTAAGTCATTCGTAAGTAGTACGCTATATTTTTTCAATTCCAAGTTTATTTAAAAAATGAGCAATGATTTCGACAATGGGGATTGCTTTTATATCCGTGAACGTATAACTTTCATTCACAAATTTATGTATTTTTTCTCACAAATAGAATATATTTGTTCTCACAAATGAGATATATTTATAACATCGTAATGTTACAGTGACATAAATATTAAATTGTGAAATATTACGAATTTACGAATTAAAAGGTTGTTTTTAGTCTTCAGAATCTTGATCTCTCCACTAATTAATTTAAAAATTTCAATATTTGGCAACTCTTCAAATTTTCATTTCAATATTATTTTCTCTTTTGTGAAATATTAAATCAAGATTCAAAAATAAATTTGAATAAATTGAAAATTTCATACTCAATCAAAATCACAGTCAAAATTCAATTTTCAATCGATCCAAAAGACTGTTAATTCAAATTTTTTTCAGACTTTGACTTTCATCATTTCAAATTAACATATTACGTCAGATTAGTGGGTGATTTCAGGTGGAATATCTGAAAGGTTTCTGTGTCAAAACTCATTTGCAAAATCACTATAAAGCAATTAAAAAAATGTACTTGAATACATTTACTGAATTGAAATTCTTGCAATCCTTGGTTAAAATGAAATTTCTGTTGAACAAGGTCGTGAGAGTTTCAAAATATGCAAATTTCACAAATACATTGCCAAAAAAACACTTTAGTAGCTGGTAAGTAAGAACTAAAAACCATAAATCACGGTATCATAGAAAGAACAATAATACAGTTTTCAAATTTTTTCAATAGGTTAATCAGTATTGAACATTTATAAGTTCTCAAAAGAAGGTGGAATCATGCACCTATCAAATGTCGAAAATAATAAATCATAAGGAAGTTGAATCTATGATTTTCAACGAGAACATTTCTATAAGTGCTGTTAGCGTGTAGTGGTAGTTTGCTAAAATGAATCTTCACGACTAAAACATAAGATTCATGAGTGAGTACTTGAGACTTGGTGCATATACCCACCTTCACTATGATTCCACTAACATTACTGTCGGGTCAGAACAGATTTAATTTGAATTGGAGGTTAGGAAAATATTTGAACATTAACTCAGTTGTAAAACTTTAACTTTACCTTGATCGAATAAGTATTTTTTTTTTGTCGAATATTAGTCGTGAAATAAAAATAATTGTTGCTCTCCTACCTTTTGTAAGAGGTAGGGATACCGCTAACTTGCGCAGTAACCCTAATGTAATTTTCAATAAAACTCAAATCTGATTAAAACAATTTATTGTATGATTTTCACTGTAAAGGGTTTTACAAAAACCGCGACACGTGTTCCTCAATCGCCTAGTTTACGATTGAGGAAGCGTATAGGAAAACACGTGTCGCGGATTTTGTAAAACCCTTTATAGTGAAAATCATACAATGAACTGTAATAATCAGTTTTAATATGGATTATCATGTTTCAAATGTTGAATCTTATATCACCAACATTTCTCGAATAATTACGTCGTAACTCATTCGATATAATAAATTTTAAAACGTATTACTCTTGAGATTATAGAATTTCTCAAGTCGTACCTTGTGTTGTGAAAATATTTTGCATTATGTGGCAACATCGCAATAGGTATATTTGATTTTTTAATAAGTTTTTTCTGAAAATGGTGACCTAAAGAAACTAGAATTGATTCGTAGTGCATATTATTTGCATGAAAGAAGCGATATTAGGAAAGAAAAATCGTGTATGAATAAAAACACAAAGTCGCTCTTGAATTTTTTTCAATTAGTGTTAAATTCTTGATTAAACTCAACTGACAACTGATCAATACTTTTTCTGTTCTCGATGGTTCGATGAAATTGATGAATTATTTAATATTTGGATTCGGCGTTGGTACCGAGGTTGCTACCTAGTACATAATTGAAGTGAAAGTATAACACCAAAAATGCTATAATTTCTAAAAAAAAATGTTTTGTCTACTTTTTTGATTCAGGGTGAGTTGCGATATTCACTTGAAAAATATCCATAACAGAAAAGAGCGACAATTGTTTCTTATTCATGAAGGATTATTGAAAGAGACACGACAAATACGTAGATAATTGCAAAAAAAAGTATTCAGTTACAATTTTCAATTCACTTTTCCTAACATAAAAAAGGAACTACACTGCAAATTTTTTTCACAATATTTTTGAAAAATTGTGGAAAAATCAAATATCCATATTGCCGTGTTGACATATGCAGTAAAATACTTTTACAACACAAGGTATGACACGGAAAATTCCATAATATCCAGGGATGCCGTATAAGTTACAATAACTCAATGCTAGGCATACATCACTTAGATGAGAACGGTTTCTTCCTAAGACAAATTCTTTCTGGGATGCGTTCGACAAATATTGATAACATACATTTAAGTTTTATCAAGCTACCACTTACAAAAAAGGTGAATTGGCAGAATTATTTTTCTTTCACGACAAATTCTTGATAATTAATTGACAATTAAAAAATATTTTCCAATGATTTTACTGCAAGTGACATTACTTACTTTATAGAGTTTGTTACCTTTATTTTTGACAGTGTGTAGGTACTCACTTACGTTGATCATTATTGAAATAAACAGACTAGAAACTATTTTTTTTGATAATTGAAGCACTAGGCTCGGCATGAATTATATTTTATCCTGTTTTTGCTAAAATAGTTTTTAAAATTACCTATTGGTACCTGAAACTTGAGTTAGTTTTTCTACTACAAGATACCCACCCAATAGAAATGTTCAAATTGCAAAATATTTTTCTAGGTATTATTACGTATATAAAAAAACTCTCTAAATCAGTCTTTTGACCGTGTATACTCCATTAGTTACCTAATACGTAAACGTCGTCATAACTATATTATTCACAATATTCACAAATATTTTGACTACCAGTCAAATATCACACAGGGAGAATACAATTTATATTTACACATGCGTTTCTGCAAAACTCAACAGCACTGAGTCAGAAGTCGACTTGAGCAAATCTAGACAGTCCTCTGCAGATAAATACAATAATTTCATACAATGTAGGAACATGCCGAGTCTTTGGTATTTTATCATTTTCGGACGTTTAAACGTCGGTACCACATCCTTCCTGATAACCCTCATCGGGAGAATTCCTATTGTGGTTCATGACTCTTTTCAGGGCTGTTACTGGTGGAAGGACGGGCACTGCTCCCTTTTGCCACACCCTCAGAGTTTTAGCGTTAGCTGGTAGGCTGACTTGTGTAGCTGATGTAAGAATTTGATTTTCAAGTTTAGTTTCAGTCATTGGGAGGCCGTAGTCCTTGGGATAAGTTGCCCCGCGATTGGTTCCTTGAGCAAGTCTGAAGTTGAGTTCTTCTGCCGAACCACCAGTACTAGTTCCGTCTCCAATTATAGGAGTCTTATCATTGTAATGGAACCCAGCGTTGTTTCTGATTATATGAACTTTGTCGTTTTCCCATAACCCAGAAGGGTACAAAGAATCTGTGTTTCTGCTATATTCACCACTAACAGACTTATCGAAAATAACTTCCGATGAATTCGGATCTGGAATTGTCTCTTCGATTTCAGAAACCTTTGCATCATTTATTAAGTCAGGATTATTTCCGGAATGAGAGGGAGACACGAAACAAGAACTAGACATGATACTACCGTTTCCATTGTAATGGGCAGTCGAATACGGAATGTCATTTAAACGAGGAGGCTTTTGCACAGGATTGCAGAAGTTCAGTTCTGAGGGTGATTTATTTTCTGTGAAAGCAGGAGGTTCTACAGGAGAACTCATTTGGGACGATGCTGATTTACCGTTAGATAAGGTTCCTCCATTGATAACCGTCACCACTTCTAACTGGCCTGGTGTTTTGCTCTCTGCAAAAGGCATCCTTCTCAGTCTAGTAAGTAGAATGGAAATAACAATTAATATAAAGAGAATCAGAAAAACTAAAGCTGCGCTGAGCCCTGCTATTTGTCCATTCCCTAGGGAAGTGATTCCCATTGGTTTCAGGGAAACTCGAAGTGTGAAATTCGCTTCGGAACTGCCAGCCCGATTTTCAGCCACGCAATAAAACTCGCTGCTGTCAACTTCTTGTACGTTCGTAAGTATGAGATTACTTCTTTTTTCCTGCTTTCCTTCTTCGTGAACATGAATCATCTGGTTGGGAGAAAATACTGAATTATTTATTAGTTGGCGCCCGTTCCAATACCACTTCACTTGAGCTGCTGGGACGGCATTGGCTCTGCATATTATACTCGCATTTTCGCCGGATTTAGCCTCGATATAACGACTAACTGGAAGGATTTCTGGTTTGCAAGCAAAATCGTCTACGTGCAGTTCTGAAAACGTTTTATGAATCACTCTTTCGGGGCCTCCGCTACAAACCGGATCTTCTGGATAAGGGATGTTATTCTTCACTAACCACTCCTTCACAGATCTTAGACGGCAATCGCAATGCCAAGGGTTGTCGTGCAGCTCAACACCGTGCAGCCGACTCAAAGTTTCGACGGTTCGAAGTCTCAATTCTGATAGGCGATTTCCATTCAGTTTCAACGACTCCAACATTTCAATATCCTCGAAAGCTTTCGGCGCAACGTTTTGGATTTCACAATTAGATAAGTCCAACTTCACCAATCCATGGATGGCTTGGAATGCACGCGATTCAACTTTCTGAATCGGATTATTCGACATAATCAAATCTCGAAGAAAAGGGATGTCTTTGAAAGTTTCCGATGGAATGGCAGTCAGCAAGTTTTGCGAGAGATCCAATTCAATGAGGTTCGTTAGACCTCTGAAGGCGAGGCTGTCAATTTGTCCAATTCGACAGCTCCTCAAATAGACTCGCTGGAGATTCACTAAGCCCGATCTTATGAACGTTTCTCGAGGGAGAATCTGGAGATTATTAGCAGATAAATCGAGAACTTGTGTTTCTGTGTCTATGTTTTCGGGGATTGTTATCAGTCCCCGTTCCATGCACTCCACCGTTTGTTTACCTCCTTTCCACTTACACATACAAGGGGAAGGACATATTCCTCCCATGGAATTAGTCGCTTGCACTGAGATGAGAGTCACTAGGGACAATAACCAGCACACGAGACCGTCCATTTTTCGCCGAGTCACTTTCCGAACATCGGTTTGAACGTATCGCAATTTTGCGAAACCGACGAGATAAAACTTCTAAGTTCATTTACGACAGATTCTAACCCCGCACCATGAACGCACAACATCGACTGGTGAGTGAGGCTCACTCTTCGTGTTCCTCACCTCTCCTGTCTTCACAGTTGCCGTTGCGCACTGGTTCACAAGTAACCACCGCATCAACGTACTGATTTTTACTTCGACCCCCTTTTATTATTGCATTCTTATTTTAAGCCATTCATTCTTAGTTGCAGTCATTTTATTCTATTACTCGCTGTTATTTGATCGGGGTGGAAGAGCGGTATTTGTTGATATGTAATGCATAAAGTTATTTGAAATTTTAATAAAATATAAGAGTATAGAGAGCTTCGAGATAGAGTTTAAGATTAGCCGGATGAATAAGAATCATATCGCGAAGCAACTTTCAAATCACTTTTATCTATGAGAAGATCACAAAGATAAAAAGAGCATTAAAAAGCGCAAGATAAAGGACCCTTTTTTTATTTTTATTAAAAACAAAACACGAGCACTACAGGAAAATCCTTAAGGCGCTCTCAGAGCAGTGCCTCTGCGAAAGTAGCGATTCACATTGGATCTGAATCGCTGGAGATTAAATCCATTTGAAAAACGTTATTAGGAAGTTTATTTCACATAAACGCAATTCTCCAGATGAAAGAGTTCTTAAACAGTGAAGTACTGAGTTGAACGTCAAAACGATGAGCAGCCACAGTCCGTCGCGTATTTCTGATATGTAACGCTATTGGTGGAATCAGATGTGCCAAGTCACTTGAACACTTCCCGTGAAAGTATCTATAGAAGACAGACAAATCTCCAACCTTTTTTCGATGTTCCATGCTATCACGGTCGGACGGTTAGCCAGTCGGTTCGACGTGGGTGCTTTGTTCACTCACTCAAATCGACCACCGTGTTAGTCACTGGTTCAAGCCCCAGGCTAAACGATCAATTTTCACTTGCTATCATCCAACCCGTGTTAGAAATCACACGGTAAAAGGTAAGACCTCGTTAGTTCTCAGCTCGCACCAGTTTCGACTTCTGAGGGTTGTCGTTCGAAGGGGTGCGACAGCTGGTTAACGGAAAACCAGATTTTAAACAGATCAAGGTTGCACGTAATGTTCGCGTCTCCAATCAGGCGGATGGCTCTTTTCTGGATGGAAACCAGCAACTTCAGTGTATGTTTGGGGGCAGGGCTCCATACATGAGAACAATACTCCAAAGAAGGTTTGATCTGAGCTTTATAAAGCATCAAAAGTTGCTGGGGTGTGTACAGTTTTGTGGTTCGGAACAGTGTTCAAGCTTTAAGAAGCAGCCTATGCAATTCCAGCAACATGATTGTGCCCACTGCATTGAAAATTATCATAACTCATCAGCATGTCATCTTGTACATTGATAACTTTTAACAAAGCGATATTTGCAAAAATCTGATATTTATTGAGATTATTCTACACTGAAAGCATTCTAATTTTAATGAAAACTGGTGGTAATATTCACAAACTCCAAAGTTGTGTTTTATTGTTGTGTTTCTATCTATCAAGTAAGTAGTGTATGTTGATGTATTTATGGTGTAGCAAATGACTGCATTTCTTTTGGATTTTCTGAAAAAGATAATTGAAAAAAACATCTTTACAGGTGAAAAAGCCTTCAAATTGAAGTTGAAAGTGAAAAATGTTTCAAAGAGAACAAAAATTTTGATTATCACATTCGAATCTTTTCATCACAAAATGACAGGGAAAATAACAAACAATTACTTTTACTGCTGTCGCATAGTATTCACCATAGTATTGTCAGAAATTGAAAGTGAAAGTTGTTTCAGAACAGAAGTTTTTGATATCAAGGTACTGTGAATTTACACTAACAATTATTGAAAATTACATTTTTTTTATTGACTATCGAGACGGAAAAATTGTTAAGGGGCAAGGTTGAAAATGTGCTGAAATACGTATTTTTTATTTGTAACAAATTGTCTGGATACCAATTTTCATGAATTTGACTGGAGTTTTGAAAAACACTAAACCGTTATTTAAACACCTCGCCACGTATTTCGATCACCAAGTGATCATCTTCGAGAGGAAGATTAAACAGTTCAATCTTCTTCTTGAAGATGATCACGTGATCGAAACACGTGCCGAGGTGTTGAAGTAATGGTTTAGTGTTGGAATAAAATTCCAGTGATATTCATTACCACACCAAAAGTTCCAAACAGTGCATCACTAGTATACCAAGCTTCGTTTACATATCTATCTTGAAATTTGACGAAAATTCGATAGATTCTTCTTCCCACAGTCGTATTTTGAAGGATAAAGAAAAAAGTTGGAAATTATGTTGATTGTTTTCGCCAATCCAAGCTTACATACTGAATTGTAGCTTTCTATTACCTACTTCCGGAAGTACCCAAACTATTATTAAGAAAATATACGTTGGTACGTTCAATCACCCTTTCATTGACATCATATACTGAGAATTTGGATTTTCCATTCAGACCAAAACTATTAGAGTTGAAAAAACAACGAAAAGTACGGAAAAAGTAAGTAGTATCTTGCTTCCGTGAGCTTTATCGTGCTCTCGGATACATCAAAAAGATATGGAAAAAAATAAACAAAAATAATTACCATTATGATCGATCGACTAATAACCTAGTGAATTTGAATGCCATTGACCAATTGAACATATTTTTTTAATGTGGAAATAATGCACAGAGGAGCTTCAAGATAAATTAAATCGATTGTCCACTGAATTTACTGATTGGTGCATGAATAATTCACTAGTAGTAATCTCTGATAGGACTGTATGCATTCAAATTTTCTGTCGAGAAAAGGTTGATGATTCATCTGTGAAGTGCAATGAATAAATAATAAACTTAGCGGAACACTCCAAATTTCTTGTAACATACATCAACAGTGACATTAGCTAAGATTTTGCTCTTGATTTTGTATGTGAAAAAGTAAATACAAAGTGGCTTCTATGCCCTACTGCAGTTAAAAGATATTTTGGATACCCGACAATTTATTAACGTGAACTATGTCAATAAATATATTGGTTGTGGATTTGGCCGCGGTGGTAGTGCGTCCGACTCACTATCGGAAGGTCGTGGCCCCCCTCGACCAGATATTTTTCTCGAGAGAATTTATCTGCTTGAAGCTGGAAGGATTCTGCAACCATGTTAGGAATCACACGTTAAAAGGTAAGACCTCGTTAGTCCTTAGCTCGCACATGTTTCTCAACTTCTGAGAGTTGTCGTTCGTATGGGGGCGTCAGTTGATTAACGGATAAACTGACAGATTTTTTAACAGATATACATACACATATCCTACAATGTCAATATGTGCGAATCGAATATTTATTTCACAAAAGAGTTTTAGGAAGCTAATCTTCAGTCTCAAAATAACAGATTCTAGTGAAGAAGAATTTAGAAATCATAAAACTACGACCCTACTTTTTCCGTTTTAAATGATTACATTTTTCAATAATCTTCCAGTTCATTTCAGTTCAGAAATTCGACATGACAGTCTCTTCAAATCCGAACTATAAATGTATTCATTCACAGGAAAACTGTTTTATACTATTACTGAATTTCTGAGCATAGATTCGTAAAATAATACGTATAGTCGAAGTAATCTTTATTATATTGTGAACAGTTAAAGCTATCGGCATCTCAAAGGCCAAAAAACTAATACAGATAAATAATGCCGCTACGAACTAGTCCACGTGGACTGAAGAATTGGCGGTTCGTATTGGATAATTTTTACCAATCAGTTAATCATAAAACCGAGTTTTATGATTGGCTGAAGAGTCATAAAATCAAATTTGAAGTCATGTTACGGTGACGAATAGAATGTGGGGATGAGTTTCGCCGTTGTGTCGTCAATGTTCAGTTCAGGAACTGATCGCGATTTGAGTGCTGAAATTCGATAATGGTGCAGTTTTAATCAGTTAAAATTTAATCTGTTTAAAATGTGGCGTCCTTGGACAAGTACTAATAGTAATAACGAGTGTGATAACAACGCAGAATATTTCCTGTGTAGTGATTCCAATAGCGCTCGTGAACAATGCGAAAAAGAGATACCAGTGAAACACAGAGAGTATGTTTCAATGTATATGAGAATCTACATCTCAAGTTTGGTTTCGAGGGAAACAAACTATTACAAGCAACATCAGATTTGACCGAAATTCCTTTCTCAACTGTACGTAAAATAGCCAAAAACAAACCATATGAACACAAGACGCGATGTAATACGGGATTACCAAAACCTTTGTATGTTCATTTAATAATGTCATTAAAAAAACAATATACGATTGTTACAAAAGCAATGAGATTCCTACAAATGAAATTATAAGGAAGAAATTGAATACTTCCGGCCATAACATGAGCTGCTGTGACAAAACTCTTCAGAATTAGATAAAGAAACTAGGATTTAGATTTAAAATAATAAACAAACGCCAAGCAGTTATGGAAAGCAGAAGAATAGTGGAATTGCGTAACAAATAACTAAATATAGATAAGAACAACGGCAAATTTTCTATTTAGACGAAAGTTGGTATGACACTCACGACACAGTTACGAAAGGGTGGACTGATGCTTCAAGAATGTGTAGGCCTAACACGCCTGCAAACAATGAATCGCGACTAATCATTGTGCATTGCGGAGGAAGTAAAGGATGGGTTCCGTATTCTTTGAAATTATGTGGAAAAAACTTGAGGACTGCAATGTTGAATGGCATAAGAACATGGAAGCTAATATTTTTGAGGAATGGTTTGAAAACACATTGATCCCAAATTTGGATGCGAATAGTGTAATAGTTCTTGACTACGCTTCCTATCATAAGCGACATCTCATCAAAGTACCGAATAAAAAATCCACAAAAGATGAAATACAAAGTTTTTTAATGGATAAAAATTTGTATTTTGAAGATATCTATACCGAATACCAACTACTTACAGTTTTACATCGAGTTGATTTGGGGTAAATTGACACAAAGTATCAGACATAAAAATAATTTCCCAAAATTTGATAAGAAGCTAATAGAGCTAGTTGAAGAAGAAGTATCTAATATTAACGA